ATGTCAGCTAATATTATCAATGTATTTAACTATAGGAATGTAGACTGAATTAAAAGCAAACTAATTCTCAACAGAGTATAAAAGTTATTCAAAGGGCAAATTTACCTTTTCTTATGTTACTGACAAACTACAACAGACTCAAAAGCAGATAATGCCTTGATTCCAGGTTAGGAACTAAACATCAGCATCACGAGGTTTATCACTTCCATTCAAATCCCACAATGCAGCAAATGCAAGGTAACAACAAATGACATCAGGCTCCCTAGCGTTGAGGACTTCAGCTCCAGATGGCTCTCCCATAGAAGTCTCAGGTTTCTTTAAGTTTCAGATTTCCTGAATCCCACAACTCAGTATTTTATCAGTATAAAAAGAGGACATAATGTGACTATGGCCTTCATATTTCTTACTACTTCTTCCAGGTGTGAACACTAACTCCCCAGAGTTAGAGGTTTCACATGGGCTAAAAAGTTAAACACATACACACACAAGCACATGCCCTGTGGAAAAGGCAAAGAGGATTCATAGGGCAGTGAAACTACTATGTCTGATACTATAATGTTGGATGCCTGTCATTGTATATTTGTTCAAACCCATTGAATGTACAACACCCAGAGTGAACCCTAATGTAAACTGTGGACTTTGGTCTGGTTGCTTAGGTTTCCTTAAAAAAAAAAAAAAAAAAAAAAATTAAAAAAAAAATTTTTATTTAAAAAAGCTATGGACTTTGGGGAATGATACATCAATGTAGGCTCTTCATTTGTAACAAATGCACCTCTCTAGTTAAGGATGTTGATAATGCAGTAGGCTGTGCACATGTAGAGGGAAGGGGAATATGGGGAATCCCTGTCTATTCCTCTCAATTTTGCTGTGAATCTATAAATGCTCTTAAAAGTAAAGCATTAAAAAAAAAAAAAAAAAAAAAAAAGCCGGAAAAAAAAACTACCAGCCAACCTATAAAACTCCACCAGAAGAGCCCAGGAATCAGAAACAGCAAAAAGTAGAGGTAAATTGAAAAAAAAAAATGCAGAACATAAAATCCCCATATTCATGAAGTTCATATTATATATGTCATGTCAGACACTTAAAATGAAATGCCAAGAACTGTTAAATGAACAATATTCAAAGCAGTCTATATTTTCTTTCCTTCACATGTCACAGGGACAGAGAAATATCACTATACTAGCATTTCATGATCGAAACCATATTAAAATATACCCTAGAGACTCACCACAAAAATGATTCCTGATTTTTTAAATAAAGAAGGCCCAACATTAAAGATGTTTTGGAAGGATGCTACCCGATTTAAGAAATATCTAATTTAATTTTAGAGAATTGAAATATAAAACAGAATGAACCTACATCAAGGCACTTACATGCTAAACAATTTAATAGTTGAAACCCCTGCCAGATTAAAGGAAAATCAGTTTCAATATTCTATCATCTCTTTTCAAACTTGTTCAAACATTCGAGGATTCAAATATCAAAATGTCTTAAAATTAGATAGTGGAGTAGTACTCCTGGAGTTTGTAAGATAACATTCCCAGCTCTGCAGTACAATTTTTCAACTTACTGACATATTATGTTAATATAATATCACTTAAAATTAATGTAAAATAAAAGATAATCATTTTCATGTCACCAGGTATACCTTTCCTTCCAATAAGATATTTATCCTGACACAGAAAGTCTCTTTCACTGCACACACTGTAATAAATACTCTGCTTCGGATGGTATAGACTAGATATGACTGTCCCCAAGACAATGATTCTTTTTTACTCAAGAAAATCAGTACAGTAAATAACTTTTCTTTTCTTCGAGACAATCACAGTGCTTGAGGCTGCTCAAACACAAAAACAAAACATCTTCACAAATGTCTCCAAACAGTCAAGCTGAAAATCTAAGCCAAAGTTTCATTTAACAGGCTGTCAGTTTTTTGATGTGAAGCTAATAAATGCAGTGGCAAACAAATCCATCAAACCTAACATCAAAACAACTGCACTTCATCCCAGCAAACGGAAAAATGAAATACAACCTGCAGGCCAGCGCTTTGATCCAACCTAGCCGGGAAGCAGACCTGTGAGTGTCACAGCAGCAGCTACACAGAGTAATCACGGACTTCCATCACAGAAGGAAAGGAAGCTACAGAAACAGAAAGTCATCTCAAATATGCACAAATGTCTTATTTCAACTGCTAAACGAGCTGTTACATATTTTTAAATCTCTATCAAGAAAAGATAATTGCATTTCACTCTGTTACAACATTCAAAGCCACAAAAATTCCTAAAACAAATAGATGGTATGTTCCACTAATACTACAATTTTGCAAGTGAAGTTTTATTAAAAGTCCTTCTGTTCTTTCTGAAAGCTCCTTGAAGACAAACACATGTCTTTCTTCTTTGTACACACATGTAGCATGGGAGAAACTCACTGAGCACTCACAAAACCTGATCTCTGCCCATCAGCAGCAAATAAACATGCGGCTACCTGAAACATCACTCTCAAGTTTTCTCAGTAATGATCTTGTCTTTGATTAGTGAAATGGGGGAAAATTACACGACTGCCTTCTTAGGTCAGTTGGTCCTGCTAAAAACGCAAGGCCCTTTTGTTCTGGAGCATCTTACAGGATTTGGCTATGCTGTATTTTGCATGTTAAGACAAGAGAACAGAATGATCCTCATTGAGGAAAACAGAAGCAAAGAGAGAAGTGAGAAAAATGGTAAGGCCTGGGGCATTATAAGAAAATATTAGAAACAGGGATGGTCAAACTAAGTAGCTACCAAGACTAAAAGGTAAATGTCCCTTCACTCCTTCCTCTATTTTCCCCAGATGTTCTATACAATCCACACACACACACACACACACACACACACACACACACACACACACACACACAAAATGTCTGTTTGAGAGATGAGGCAGTTTGGATAGACACCATGAAAAAGGACCATCTGGACTGAAGGACTGTAAAAACAGAATATATCCACAGGTACAGAAACATCTCCCAAATACAATAATTCAGCTGAGAATATCCAATATCGAGGAATCTGCTAAAACTTGGAAGAAGTGTATCTGAGCTTTACACAAATAATGAAATTTCTTTTTTTTCCTTTTTTTTTTTTTTTTTTTAGACAGAGTCTTGCTCTGTCACCAGGCTAGAATGCAATGGCGTAATCTTGGTTCACTGCAACCTCTGCCTCCTGGGTTCAGGCAATTCTCCTGTCTCAGCCTCCCGAGTAACTGAGATTACAGGCTCAAGCCACGACACCACACTCAGCTCTCTGCTTCCACATGGAAATGTAGAAATGCAACTCCAATGTACATGGTTGTTTAGCTTCTCCCCAAGGCAGGAATGTCCTATTTTGGCCAATATCATGGACTGCTTCTGAGACCTGTATTAAACAATAATCAGTATTTGTGGCAACTCTGAACAGCTAAGATAGCTGACTTATGTCAGTGAGTAAGGGTGCAAACTATAAAATAACAGGCCTTGTTATAACCTCATGGCCAAGACACTGCTTCAAGGCAGATGCACACGTTACATTTCCACAAAAGCAATGCAGTGGCTGCCCTGGGTACACACACTGAGTTTTCTATTTCTTACAAGGTTTTGTTAGAATACACAGGATGTATAATGTGAAGTAGTGCAGTTCTGTTCCTTTCTGAATTACTCATCGTCAATAGAAATTTCTTAGAACAGAAAAGTCTTCTAATACCAGGGGCTTTCTTTTATGTCCAGAATGTATTTAAGTGAGTCCTGGGCTGCCAAAGGGCTACACTTTTATCTTTTAACATATTTTGCAATTTTCTAAATACACAAGTGAATTAAACTTGGTTTTCTTCCCTGAACATACTTCTATCTAAGTATGTCTCCAAATGTAAGTTTTATCAATGCAGAATGAAAGATATTCAGTTGAGCCATGCAGGGGCCAAGACCACATAAGTTTTATTTATCATTTTCTGCTAAATCTATGTCAATTTTACATACTCTGTGAAACACAGTTTCATTTAGAAGCTACCCTCTGCCAGCCTGCACCTTTCCCTTAAAAGCCATAGGAAAAGGCCAGGCGCGGTGGCTCAAGCCTGTAATCCCAGCACTTTGGGAGGCCGAGGCGGGTGGATCACGAGGTCAAGAGATCGAGACCATCCTGGTCAACATGGTGAAACCCTGTCTCTACTAAAAATACAAAAAATTAGCTAGGCATGGTGGCGCATGCCTGTAGTCCCAGCTACTCAGGAGGCTGAGGCAGGAAAATTGCTTGAACCCAGGAGGCGGAGGTTGCGGTGAGCCGAGATCGCGCCATTGCACTCCAGCCTGGGTAACAAGACCTAAACTCCGTCCCCCCCTTAATTTAATTACTAAAAAAAAAAAAAAAGCCATAGGAAAGGAAGCAAACCTAATGGAAACCACCATCACTTTGAAGATGTCTTCTATTTAACACCACAGGAGGAAAGTAATTAAATTTAATAGAAGTTATTGCTTGTGAATGAAAACACACAGTATGGGAGCTAAATTAAATATACTGGGCAGGAGATGCAAAATTTTGTGCCAAATTTAACATGAACATGCAATTTCCTGTTAAAATGTGTTCTACGTTATTACTTTCAAGATTTTATTTCTGCACTAAGGGCAGTTTTAATCATTTCTTCCTACCAACCTCCTCCACCTCTTGCCACAATTTTATCAGACACTCCCTTCTGTAAATTGTTTTCTAAGCCATGAACTGATCTCAAACAGGGAAAGGTCTGAGTCTACCTAACATGGAGCCACTTGATGCCACTGGAAAACCTTACAAAATACCAACTAACAGCCTCAAGACAGAAAACAATTACACATTGCATAAAATTACCTAATAGGGTAAACTGCTCCACATTAATCACAAAACAGACATTTTCAGCTAAAACTGGTAATACTGCCTATGTAAAATAAATGTATCTAGCCCGAAGTGAATTGTTATGGTGAGAGGCACACAACGCCAGTGAGGAAAACTAAATAAATGCTACACAGAATCTTAGGGTTCCTACTACAAAAACCAGAATGCCCATTTAATTTATGCTTTATTTCTGAGGCATAGCTTACCAATTTGGCACCTTTTCCATAGTCGATCCATCTGACAATAACAAAATTCGTAGATTCTGCACAGTTGAAACCATGATTAAAGCCAGCATAGTAGCCATATGGGAAAGTGTGCATGAATTATCCAGCCTCCTGAGTTATCTGCAAGGTAGGAAACATATAACATTTTGTAGTAAGGAGACTTCCCAAATTATGAATATATTAAAATACATTTCTCATTTAAAAAAAGAAAAAAATGTCATATCAGAGCAATAAAAAAGTTTCACCAGATTCTTTACTTAATCCTTTAATAGTGCTTTTTCAGGAAACGTTTAAAACAGTTTCCTACATAGGATGTGGGTTGCTGGCCCTTGAATTCAATCAAACAATACATAATCAAAG